CCGGAGCCGGGCAGTAGTGACATCCAAGAGTCTGCTTATTTTGTTGGATGCACCATAGACATGTGGCTCCTCCTGCATAATAGAATGATGATAGATGGACTGACTGGTGTCAATCTCCCTGAGTCTTAAGTCAATAAAATTCAGTTGAAGTTCTTTTCGTATTATAGTTCTTAAACTACTACATGACAAGCCAAGATTGTAATCTACTCCCTCTTTGAAAGCATACAGTTTAGCCAATTTATCAGTTCTATCATGCATCTGAAGACCAATGTGAGATGGAATCCACAGCATGTGCACTCTGACTCCACTGTCCACAATCTTACCATACCTATGTCTGGCTTCTGACACAAGCATGCCACAATTTATACTTAATGAGTTGAGAGCATTTATGGATGACAGAATCAGTTACAATTAAACTGTCAATCTTAGATACATAGATGCATTTCAGTGCAAGGAGTATGGCAAACAGTTCTGTCTGAAGGGTAGAGGCCCAATTATTGATGCATGCTCCAAATTCTTTAAGAGAGCCATCACTCTGCACGACAACAGCAGCACTACCAGCTGCACCAGTGGATTGGTGAACAGAACCATCAACGTAAATAATTTGCGAGAGTGTGTGCTGTGTGACTAAGTTATCAATACAGCTTAAGGCCTCATGTTTGGCTTCAAGGCGAAGTTTTGGTTGTGATTTAAGAAGTAGTTTGGGGGGGAATGGTAGATTGGAATGGGGTAATATCCCATGGAGCGGAGAATTGCCGCTGTTGCCTTAGTTGACATAGATCATGTAGCTCAGTGGTTCCCAAACTGGGGGTAAATTACCCCCTGGGGGTAATTTAACCATTTCTGGGGGATAATGGAGGGGTGACAAAAAAAGTTATGAATTCTGAAAATCAAGAAAACAATGCGGTACCCGGTATGAGGATTATTGTTAACTTTGTCTTAGTATATAAAGTTGTAAAGTAAACCTATTATAAGTAAGTAATAAAGTTAAACCAAATAACAATAAACATCAAAAACTAATATACAGTATTAGAAAAGAAATATATAGCTAAGTGTGTGGAAACCCAAAAGTATTTTGACAAGTATGCTTCAGGACAAAAGTCACTCAGTAGCCCTGATCGACCTGTCCAGTACGCGTCACTCACTTCCTGAGGCTGCCTCTATTTCACACTGTCAGTTTATCTGTGAGCATCAGCCGAGGTAGACATAAGCTGGTATGAAGCCAAGAATTCCTAAACTAGCTTCAAGTATGCAACTCCATCCATCCCACTGATGTTCTTGACATCTTTGGTAATAGTCATTAGTTAGTTAGTTTAATATGTTTATTATGCACCCCATACCCATCCTGTGGGCGGTAGTCAAAAGATTACAGAGGTACATAATTGGTCCAGGGACTGGACTCCAAAGTTTTGATAGCTGAGCAAGTTACAGAGGTAATGAACTCACAATTTACATTAGAGATGCACAATGTTCAAATACAATAAATAAAAGAAAATATCTCAAGTGTTTTAATTTAGCCATATATATCAATAATAACAACATTTTGTGAAAGGGGTAACATGCTTTATGTGGCATGTTAAATTGGGTAACAAGCTGAAAAAGTTTGGGAACCACTGATTTGTAGCTGGTTCATGCGGAGGTCGATTCCAGTTTTTTCGATCCATCTGGAGGAGTGTTCACCAGTGCTGAGGAAAGTTTGGAGGGCTTCTGTGCAGGGGTTTGAATGGGCTTACCTGAGCATATTAACCCCAATTAGGATATTTCTTTTAGTAACACGATCTCTGATGCTTGGAATATCAAGTTCTTTTTGCATATTTAAAATTTTGGCAGTACGAGGGCATCCTAAAATGATCCTCATTGCTTCGTTCTGCAGTTTTTCCAGCCCTCCAAGCTTCCAGTCAGACACAAGAGCAAGTAGTGGCGCAGCATAATCAACCAATGATCTAATATAAGCAAGATACATCATTTTCACAATTGTAATAGCACCATACCTGGGGTGAAACCCAGCCACAACTCTAAGTGCTCTTAGTCTTGTTACAACAGGTCCAAGTAGTGGAACCTCAAAGCCTAGATACCTGTATCTGCTTACATATTCTAGAAGAGACCCATCATGCAATTGGATCTGACGAACTGTGCCTCTCTGTCGGGGAGGACGCCTATTGAGTATCTTTGTTTTATCAGTAGAAATTATCAACCCCAGGTCCTGACACGAGGCTAGTACATGAATAAGAAAGTTTTGGGTGTTGGAGAATCCGGTGGTGTGAATCATTATATCATCAGCAAAACTAATCATATAATGATGGGGCTGACTAGGCATAGCATTAAGTAATGCATTAATTAGAATATTGAACAGTGTGGGACTGAGCACACCTCCCTGTGGGGTTCCTAATTCCAAGTCTTTAGTTACACTTCTATGTCCCTGGAACAACACAGACGATTTTCTGTTGGACAGGTAGCCTATGATTACATGTCGGCTGGCTACATCAAAAGCGGATTTAAGGTCAAGAAAGGTAGTGTATGAGCTGTCAGTGTGCAGGGTGAGAAAGGTGGCTATGCAATGATGCACGCTCCTTCCATGCATGAAACCATGTAACCGGGGAGACAAAAATTGTTTAATTCTGTACATGAGACGATTAAGAATCATTCTCTCAAATGTTTTACACAAGCAGCTAGTAAGAGATATTGGGCGAAATGCATTTTGTTGATTGAGCTTAGGAATTGGAATGATGAGGCTGTTGGTCCACGATTGAGGGAGCTCCCCAGTGACATAGTTCATGTTATATAATTCAAGTAATGGATTACCTGGTACTCGACACAGCAATCTGAGTATGTTGTAAGTAATACCATCCTCACCAGGCGACGTGGAGTTGCCCTAGTTAGTGCTGCATCAAGTTCGTAATTAGTGAATGGAATGTTGCAGTCATCTTCCTTGCTGAGCATAAAGCAAACAAGTCTCTCCCTTGCATCATATTTGTCATTTAATTTTTCCTGTGTGGTACTGGGAAGATTGTCATAGCTAGATGAAGCAGCCCAAGCACTGTGTAAAGCAGGTCTAGCATTTTTATAATTGCATCATTAGTGCTTTTATTTTTCCTGAATCCAAACTGGCAGGGGTTGAGTATGTTTTGTGATGTTATAAATGAATATAGTCTCCTGTGCACGAGTTTCTCGAGGATTTTGGATAGCAATGGTAAGTTTGATATTGGCCTATAGTTGTTTACGTCTGTAGGGTCACCACCTTTATGTATTGGTGTATTGAGGTTCCTTGACCCTGGTGAGGGGCTCTTGATCTGGGGAATTGGATCTGTGCTCCGGTTCCCTGAATTGAACCTGAATGCCTTCCTTATCCCTCCCCAGGTACTGTATGATCCCTACGGGTTTAGCGCTCCCTTATAATCCTTACATCCCTGCCTATTTAGCAGGGAAAAATAGGTATTTGTGTTAGTCATGTTATTAGTCGCTAATGTGGGTTTAGCGCTTAGTTATTATAATAATCAGTCGCTATACCGGAGGGAAAGTCACTATGCAAATATATTAGAAACTCCTGAAGCCACAGACTGGGCAATACGCCAATGTGAAAGTAAACGTCAGACCTTTGGAAGTATTTCATTGTGTAAAGCAATGTATTTATTAATGTTAATAAAATATACGACTTTATTCGTATTATTAACTCTAGTGTTATATAACGGGAAACAAGGTACGTGATCTGTTTCCTATATGATTCTTTATGGATTTTCTGTGTCCTAGGTGTCTACTGCTAGATTAAAATGAACAATAGTTGTATAAGAGACAATCATACCTACACTTTTCTCCGGGGATTGAACCTTGGTCCTTCTGGTTGTGAGCCGAACGTTCCACCTCATAAAAATCAAGATGACGTTACAGATGACGTATTATCTGGCTTCATCGTTACGGAATAATTCAACTGGGGTCATTAACATCGTCCTATGTACCTATATACATCCACAACTGTACATGTCTCACTTTGAATGACTTTCTAGGGTTATCCTAGGGAATTTACTCTACGTATGATAATTGTACTTATGTGTATCTGTATCTAAAAATCTCAGCATCTATAAAGGGTTATTCTAAGACATTTTTTTTAGGATTTGTAGTTTACTGCAAGATAAAGTACATGTGAACTGTGGCCTTAATGGTCTTTGTGAATTCGATAAATCTTGATTTTAACTGATTTGTTTCTGCTATAAAATATGTACACAATAAGCTCTAAATAATGAGTGAACTGACAATAATACCATCTAAAAAAAGTATCTAGTGTCAAATAACACATTATAAATTTATGTAACTGTACTCATCTGTACCTCAGTATTATTATTATTATTATTATTATTATATTATTATTATTATTATTATTATTATTATTATTATTATTATTATTATTATTATTATTATTATTATAAAAAAGAAGCGCTAAACCTACAAGGGTCATACAGCGCCGCTGTACCTCAGATTTTTAGATTTCAGACGAAGTGACTTATTTCTTATATATATATATATATATATATATATATATATATATATATATATATATATATATATATATATATATATATATATATATATATATATATATATATATATATATATATATATATATATATATTTTATATATATATATATATATATTATATATATATATGTAGGGCAATTTTTAACCGAGATAATGTTCATTCAGGAAATTTACAAATGATTTTACAGATAGTATAGATTTGTATGGTGGTTAGGAGAGCACGTAGATGATGTAGGCAAACATTAATAATGCATTACGTAGATTTAACTCAATAAAGTGAAACAATGTGACTTTATTTCCATATTTCTATTGGTCTTTTTTTTTTTATCCATATTAGGTATAAGCAAAAAAAATTACTATAGTATTTAATCCGGGGGATATAAGGTTGGATTCTTTGTGAGACGCTCTCTAAGATAACCTAAACAGTTTTGAAAGCATCTGATGGTACTTTGTCCATATCCATTGATCGTGTCGTCTATAGTGAGTGTGGTGTGAGGGGTCGTGTGGAGGTGGTCATGGAATTATTACTCTAGTGCTTAGAACAGGCAAGATGACTTCTATGAAGAAGATACCTAATGTGCTGGGAGCGAGGAGAAGCAACACCCTGGACCAGGAGAGGGACCAGTTTGAGAGAACACAGGTACTTTTATTCCTGTGAGTGAACTCTTCCACGATATCAAGATCCTGGGGTGGGTTAGGGAAGGAGGATATCCTGTTGACACTGCTTAAATGACAGGATGGACCGGGACACCTTTCTCATGTCTTACCCCTGTCTCTTGCCAGTTACACTTGTTTCTCATCTTGTAGGCCTCGTCTCTCATACCCTTGCCTCTCCACTTAACATTTTTCGTACACTTGTCGTTCGTCTTGTACACTCGTCTCATGCGCTGGTTTCTCATCTACTCTTCTTTCTTGTCTTGTATGCTTGTTTTATGCACTTATGTTTCATTTAACACTTACGTCTCTCTTATCTTAAAAGTGTAAGGTGAGAGATTTCATCTCTCAATGAAATCTGTCAACTTACACTTGTCTCATCTTCTATACTTGTCTCGCAACGTACACCCGTACTCTCATCTCTCATCTTCAAAATATTCAATTGTCTCATCTTCTACCTGTACACGTCGCATCCTCTACCTGTACACCTGTCTCTCATCTTCTACCTGTACACCTGTCTCTCATCTTCTACCTGTACACGTCTCATCTTCTACCTGTACACGTCTCATCTTCTACCTGTACACGTCTCATCTTCTACCTGTACACGTCTCATCTTCTACCTGTACACCTGTCTCTCAGCTTCTACCTGTACACGTCGCATCCTTTACCTGTACACCTGTCTCTCAGCTTCTATCTGTACACGTCGCATCCTCTACCTGTACACCTGTCTCTCAGCTTCTACCTGTACACGTCTCATCTACCTGTACACCTGTCTCCTCTTACCTGTACACTTCTCTCATCTACCTGTACATTTGTCTCTCATCTACCTGTACACCTGTCTCTCATCTTCTACCCCCCCTCAAGGAAGGTTCCTTGATTGTGGTGAGGGGCTCTTGATCTGGGAAATTGGATCTGTGCTCCAGTACCCTAAATTAAGCCTGAATACCTTCCACCCCCCCCCCACAGGCACTGCATAATCCTACATGTTTAGCACCGCCCTTGATTATAATAATAATCATCGTCATCTACCTATACACCTGTCTTGCCTTCTACTTGTGCACCTCTCTCTCATCTTCTACCTGTACACCTGTCTCGTCGTCTTCTACCTGTCTCGTCGTTTTCTACCTGTCTCTTCTACCCATACACATGTCTCATTTTCTACCTGTACACCTGTCTAATCTACCTGTACACCTGTCCCATCTACCTGTACACCTGTCTCATCTACCTGTGCACCTCTCATCTTCTGCCCGTACACCTGTCTCGCTTCTACCTGTACACCTGTCTCGTCTACTTGTACATCTGTCTCTCATCTTCTGTCTGTACACTTGTCACTCATCTACCTGTACACTTATCTCTCATCTTCTACCTGTGCACCTGTCTCATCCTCTACCTGTACACCTGTCTCATATTCTACCTGTACACCTGTCTCATCTTTACCTGTACACCTGTTTCTCATCTTCTACCTGTACACCTGTCTCTTATACCTGTACACTTGTGTCTTATCTTCTACCTGAACATTTGTCTCTCATCTTCTACCTGTACACCTGTCTCATCCTCTACCTGTACACCTGTCTCATATTCTACCTGTACACCTGTCTCATCTTTACCTGTACACCTGTTTCTCATCATCTACCTGTACACCTGTCTCTTCTACCTGTACATCTGTCTCTCATCTACCTGTACACCTGTCTCTCATCTACCCTCCTCTAGGAAGGTTTGTTGATGCTGGTGAGGGGCTCTTGATCTAGGGAATTGGATCTGTTCTCCAGTTCCCTGAATTAAGCCTAATACCTTCCACATTCCCCCCCCACAGGTGCTGCATAATCCTACAGGTTTAGCACTCCTCCTTGATAATAATCATCATCATCTACCTGTACATCTGTCTCTCATCTACCTGTACAACTGTCTCATCTTCTACCTGTGCACCTGTCTCTCAGTCTTCTACCTGTACACCTGTCTCTCAATCTTCTACCTGTACACCTGTCTCTCAATCTTCTACCTGTACACCTGTCTCTCAATCTTCTACCTGTACACCTGTCTCTCAATCTTCTACCTGTACACCTGTCTCTCAATCTTCTACCTGTACACCTGTCTCTCGTCTTCTACCTGTACACCTGTCTCGTCTTCTACCTGTACACCTGTCTCTCTTCTACCTGTACACCTGTCTCATCTACTTGTACATCCATCTCTCATCTTCTGTCTGTACACCTGTCACTCATCTACCTGTACACTTATCTCTCATCTTCTACCTGTACACCTGTCTCATCCTCTACCTGTACACCTGTCTCATATTCTACCTGTACACCTGTCTCATATTCTGCCTGTACACCTGTCTCATCTTCACCTGTACACCTGTCTCTTATACCTGTACACCTGTCTCTTCTACCTGTACATCTGTCTCTCATCTACCTGTACACCTGTCTCTCATCTTCTACCCTCCTCTAGGAAGGTTCCTTGATGCTGGTGAGGGCCTCTTGATCTAGGGAATTGGATCTGTGCTCCAGTTCCCTGAATTAAGCCTAATACCTTCCACATTCCCCCCACAGGCGCTGCATTATCCTCCAGATTTAGCAGTCCCCCTTGATTATAATCATCATCATCATCGTCTACCTATACACCTGTCTCTCATCTTTTACCTGTACACCTGTCTCTCATCTATCTGTAAAATTATCTCATCTTCTACCTGTACACCTGTCTCTCATCTACCCATACACGTCTCATCCTACACACTTGCCTCATGTTATATATGCTTGTCTCATCTTTTACACCTGTATTTTGTCTGTACAAGTACTTCTCTCATATTATATTCACTTATGGCTCAGTGGTAGCGCCTTTGGCTCACATCCAAGGGACCCGGGTTCAGTCCTTGAGTCCTTACATCTGTTGCCCTTGTTCACTTAGCAGTATATAGGTACCTAGGTGTTTGCTGACTGCTCTCATCCTGGGGAAGACCAAGGATCCCCGAGTAGAAACAAGCCACGTCAATTGTCTTTCTTGGATAATTCTGGGTTACTAACCCTCTGAGCTAATCCAAGTACATTCTTCTACATGCTTAGCTCTTTCGTGTACGTTTATCTCTTATACAATACACTTGCCTCTTGTCCTAAACATGTCTGTGTTTTTTTTTTTTGATACATTTGGTAGGCTTTGCAAATTTAAAGTGAATAAGCCCTCAATTGCAAGGTGTCCCATGGTCTGGTGGCAAAAGCTCTTGCTTCACATGGTGAGGGTCCGGGTTTGATTCCTGGCTAAGGGATTGAAACATCAGAAACGTTTCCTTACACTGGTTGTCTATGTTCACTCATCAGTAAAATGGGTACCTGGGTGTTAGTCGACTGGTGTGGGTCACATCCTGGGGACAAAACTGACTTAATTTGCCTGAAATGCTCAGCCTAACAATGGGCTTTCTATATAGTAGTACACATGTATGTCATTGATGTCAGCTAGGCCTGTATACCTAGTACATGTATGTACTTGTAGTAAATAAAGATATTATTATTATTAAAATGTAGGCAAACCTATAACCCCCCACTAAACTTGTGTGATGGACAGTAGAAAAGTAGTCAAATGCAATAATGCGATCCTTTATGGACTAAGTTTTGCTTACACATTTGGCGAAACATAATCCATAAAGGATCGCATTATGCTGCATATGTGTATATTTCCGTTGTTTCAGTATTTTATACCATTTATCTCCATCGTGTTGGACAGTGCACGGACAGCTGGAAATAAAAAAGTGGTTTCCTTAATCAGGATATACTTTTCGTGGAGAACTTTTGATGATACCATTTTCTTATTTTGAGATACTGCAAAATTCATGTTCTCAGTGCATTGTTTTTGCACTCTGCTTTTCCATTATCTACCCATACTTTAAAAATCAAATCATTTATTTCTCCGTGCAATACAGTGTATAGTTTAATTGTAATAAAATATTGTCGAGCACAAAGAAAGCCACTAGCATGCATGAGCATTTTGAGCAGTCTAACTCTGATGCTTACAGGCTATTTACTACTAGACGTAAGTTACGGAGTGGTAAATTTTAATTATGTATTATTATTTATCATTATTACAACAATGGGATGTATGCCTGGGGATCTACTTTGGCAACCCACCTTAAACCACTCATCACCCACAATCACAGATTCTTATTATAGCCAACACACTGTCCTTATTAAAGTCCCAAAACCTACTAAATATAAATGTCATTCATACATACTGCTGTTTGCTCCACATTTTTAGAATAGTACATTGTGAAGTTCATGCTGACATAAGACATTTTCTAGAAAATTCTAACAGAAGATACAGACACAACACTAGAAATATAAATTTATCTTTGTTAGCCCTCGTGTTTGATTAAACCTTTTCAGAAATTTTGGCCTATTAAAGGCCAAGAATATGAAATTGCTTATCAGACAAGCAAGTTTCTGAATTCAGGTCAGCGCTAAAACAAGTAGTGTGTGCTTAAAGACCTTAATCAGTCATTTTTGACCTTGAACCTAACCTGACCTTGAACAATGAGAACTTTCAAAACTAGGGATTCCATGATTCTCTTCAGATCGCTCGTTCTCTCTAGGCAGGAATATTGCTGCACACTAATGGCCCCTTTCAATGCAGGCGAAATTGCAGAGAACTTTCATGGCACATATAAGTACGATAAAGCACTGAAATTACTGGAACAGTTGAAGTCCCTTGATTTGTACTCCCTGGAACACAGGCGAGAAAGATGCATGATAATATACACTTGGAAAATCCTAGAGGGTCTAGTCCCAAATTTGCAAATGAAAATCACTCCCTATGAAAGCAAAAGACTGGGCAGGAGATGCATCATCCCCCAAATGAAAAGCAGGGGTGCCACGAGTACACTAAGAATCAACACAGTGTCAGGGGTCCAAGACTGTTCATCTGCTTCCCCACATACATATGGGGGATTACAATTGGACCCCTGGCTGTCTTCAAGAAGGTGCTGGACAGGAACCTAAAGTCAGT